CTGCCCACTTATGGACTAGGGTATCTGACTACAGTAGGAATAGGAAGTCCATCTTATCAAATACCCACATGTTAGTGGAGGCACAGCTGAAGTTTTGGAGAACAAAAAATCAAGGGATATCAAAGTAGCATATATATATATATATATTGTCAGCTAGCTATTCAGCTGTTCTAAGCCAAAAGTTTTAGTCATATTTTAAAATGCTGCAGTTTCTAAACTAAATCTGTAGTATAAGTTGCATGTGTTCAAGAGACATTTTAGTTTAGTTTTAGTAGAGGTTTTTTGGCGCTCGCAACTGCATAAGGTCATTTGAGTGCCAGAAGAATAGAGGTGTTACAAGAGAGTAACAAACATAAAAAAGAAGGGGAGATAAGGACGATAGATGTTTGATAGAAAAGAAGGAGGAAACCACACCAGAGCACCCGCCAACCACCCACAGAGACATTTAGTCAAAATTTAAATTTGAAACGTTCAAAAAAAGAAAAAAAAAGACACTCGACGTTGGTGGTAAAATTGTTCAAAGAATGAAACACTTTTTTCTCCCCACGAAAATTTGGTTTTCTGGACTTAGTACATTTGACCAGGTGCCGGCATTTCACTCCATTATAAACATGAATGGTACAGGACTTCCAGCCACCAACAGCACCATGCGGAAAAAAATGGAGCAAAGAAAACAATCATCAAATGAAATAGAAGTCAGAACACAGACATGAATTCTAAAACATTTCTTTATTAGTAAATTTAAAACTTTGAAAATACGAAACAAGAAAGAACATTATGGTGTACGGTACATGGACCATGGCCAGAGCAGAAGCATTACCATTCCATTGTGTGGTCGGCAAAGGAGACGAATGTGAATCATGTGCACGATACCCAGAGTACATTGCCCATTAGTTACATACTTTGATTAATTTCATACGGTCGGGGCCGGGCAGGATTTTCCTTCGTGGAGGTGTAAAAGCTGCCATTTTAGCATAGTATAGTATTTTTATATATATATTTTTTTATAGTAGAGGGTTTTACGGCGCTTGCAACTGCATAAGGTCATATGAGCGCCAAGGGGTGGGTGTCAACAGAGAAGTCTTTACAGGGAATCAGACTTAGACAGCTCACCTCTCTAGCTTCAACAGCACAAGGTCTGCTTCGACTATCAAGGCACCCCAAAATAGTAGGTCACAAGGGAGTGACAAACATACAAAAGAGGTAGAGGAAAATGACAATAGAAAGGACCAGGAAAGAAAAAGCAGCAGTTCCCTGTTGTAGATCAGGCACAGTTATGAGCGTGACATGAGTCAGCCCATTTACAATTCTACTATGCTTGAACGAGATATGTCCCCCCTTTAGGAATGGCCTAAAGACACTTCAGTCAGTGGCACTGCCGCGGGGGGTATAGTAGTTTTTGCCCGAAGAAAATCTGGGTGGCCCTGATTCATTTCAACTGAATTGATCGGCAGTGTGCACTGGGTATTGAGGCCATGAAATTTGTGACATGGTGTGTAAAATCAAATGTTCTAATTACAACAATAACAACGGTTTTGGCAGTGCGAATTAAAACTTTTCACTCAGAAAGATTGCGACATGATAGTGTATACATGTTGTGGTTTTTAGATCAATACCAACAAGAAACAAAATATTCCATTAACAGTTTACATAACAAGTGCCCATAGAGGAGTATATATGTGGTGAACCAGTTCATGCTCTGAGAAGTGTTGGAAAACTGAATCAGAATATCCACCAGTTTTTATGCTAAACACACGCACACATACCCACACACACGCATAGGCACACATATACGTATACACTCTATCTCTCACCAAAACACACACACACACGTGTACACACACTCTCTCTCTCTCTCACACACACAATATGGAAATATATAGCCACCTTAACAATAACTAAAAAATTGGGCTCAATTTGACATAAACGAATAACGCTGAAAAGTCAATAAGTTTTCATAATCACCTTTAAACTGAGCTCAAAAGGACATGTAGTTCTGGATTTTAGCCTCCCTCCCCACTTCTATGGCCTGCTCCACAAGATCATATGCATGAATGAACACTCAGTTCCACAGCTTAGTAAACTTAGTTAAACAATGAAAGGAGAGTTCAATGATGAAGAGCTCACATTGTTCTTCTGTTCACATCTCTTCAAAGCAAAACAATTTTCACGGCTCTGCCACCCACTCAAGGCTTTGTAGTGTAGGGCTACCATAATTTAAAAAATGAAAAATAATACACCAGCCAATACTGTGTAGGATGGGAACCCAAAAAGTGTTTTACAAAATAATATCTAGTTATAAAAAAGAAAAAGTTCCTAATTTGAAAAGACTCAATCAGAAATACTTGGGACAGGGAGGGCCAAAAAAGAGGAGTGGTTTATTGACCCATGCATACTTGTATCAGTATCAGGTAGGTACTTTCCTCGTCTGATCAAGTACGGTAAGGCTAATGTTATAAGTATCTAGGCCTAGAGACAAAAAGGTTCTTTGGAGGCCTATCTAGTATCTTTTTCACGTTAATGCACATCTATCACTGGTATCAGTAGTAGGAGGTAAGTAAGATTTTACAGGATCACTCCCCAAGGTGCTGCAAGTTTCTCTCAAGATCGCAATGCAGGTAGCCTGACAAGTTGTCCTCTAATGCCACGACTGAAATAATTGGTTTACATAATTTTGTTCTGATCTTTTTGTTACAAAATATACATGTACTAAAGTTGAAATACATTTTTGGCATTGTATTTTCACTGAAGTAGATTATACAAAGTCCAAGTAGGCCTGCATTTAAACTTGCCTTTCAGTTAGCACAAAAATCCCAGCTTTAAAACGACTAACTGACCAACAAGTACAGTATGAAAATGTTACTTGAGTTCCCAGTGGCTTTTTCCTAATGCTCCTAAAGAGCATGTCTTCTGTTGTCAATATTCCAGCTGGCATCTCATCAAGCCAGTATCTGATCATCTGGTAGTGCTTGACATAGCAAGATCTGGCATCTTTGAAGGGCAGAGAGTTAAAGCATCGGGTCCACGAAGAAGAAGAAACCGGTCAGAACAAATGTACAGAGCACAACCCATTAGGGGAAAGAGCTTTACCATGGCTGCATCACAAATTCGAGAAGGATAATATACATGTATTGTCATAATGTGTATGGTCTAAAGACACAATTTGCTTGGTAATAAATGAATGGAATAATTTTTGAGTATTAGAATATTTAGAAAACGAGATACATTTACATGCACCAGTATATATATATATATATATATATATATATATATATATATATATATATATATATATATATATATATATATATATATATATATATATATATATAATGCATATATTCCCTTTTTAACCAATCTGAAGAAATAGAAAATGGTTGGTTTGAGGTGCACACACTCATAGATAATATATTATATTATATTTCATAAGGGATAATCATACACTAATGCACACAGAAAGCAATGTAACATTCGCAAAAGGTGAAAACTATCACAAGTACACAAAGAGTTCTCAAAGAGGGAATACTCTAGATCAGGCTTCAACATCACACCAAGGTCTGTTTGCATTTCAGGAACAAATTTTCTAATTAAAATGTTGCAGGTTCTATGGAGAACTTGACATAACAGTGCTGACAGAACAAATAAAAAATGATAAAAGTGAATGGGGAAGGTGGGTGGGGGAATATGTGACGACAAGTGGAAAAAGTATTTAAATTATTTTTTAAGTATCCCTCCCAGACAGATCTAGATTTCAAATCATGATGAAGGCGAGGGCTCGTCGTTTACAAGCCTTCTAGAACATTTTGGTATTTGTATTATAGAACCCCTAAAGCACAACCACAGTTTGACAATTTTGAAAGTAATGGGGCTAACAACATTCAACACTAATATAACACGACAGGAGACAGGAAATCACTTCATCCACAGAAAGATCAACGATAATAACACCAACAACAGTAACAACTGACAAACTACCACTACTTGTGCTCCTCAAGACTACACCTGTTTCATCATGACCACAACAGAAACAAAATGAAAACTGATAAGATACAAAACACGGAGGTTCAAAAACATTAAGTGACATCAGACACTAGTAATAAAACAAAAACCATACAGGACAGACATAGGTGCGATATCTTTAAAAAATCTACAAGAAAAGAAAATTCAGGTTCCATTTCATGTATTTGAGGAAAGAAAATTCTGGTTCCATTTCATGTACAGTATAAACAAAATGAGATGGATGCAGGAGAGACAAAAATGGTTGCTTACACAAAAATTCTCCATGGTTCACGAATGGATTAAGAACATAAAGATATAAAATTAGTTTTAAAAAGATACAAGTGGGAAAAAAGTAGCACCTAAAGAGAAGAGAATATGTGAAAAAGGTATTATGGAGATCAACAGAGCAATAAATGTTCATTTAAATTGTGATGTTGCGCATTCATGAAAATATTATACAAGAAACTAAGAAATTATGACGTATTAAGTTTGAAAAGACAAAAGAAAGGGTAAGTAAAAAAATAATACACACCCTGTCCATACAAATAAATGCGTAAACAATTTTATATCAATCCGCATGGCTTGCATTACATACACAATATGTCAACTTTTTGGTACTATAAACTGAAAATTCATTTGGTTATAATGCATCAGGCAAGGGAGCTTTACTGATCTGAGACACAGTAGATTAAAAACACACATAAGGTTTAAGTTTATTGTAATTCATGATATTTATTATACTACAACACTATCATAACCATCTCGGACAAAATGCATTTTGAAAGAGACCTACAAAATTCTACGAACAATTTAGGAGCAGACAAGGGGATTCAAAAACAAGTCAACCACGTTGCAGAGTACCAACTGACCACCACTTGAGCTAATGGATCTGGATCTTGCTTTGAACATCCAATTTTTAAAAATATTTTGTAAGATGAGACTTACATGTAGATATTGAGGAACCAAAAAGAAGCATATCAAAGTACGTTTAAAATTTTAAGTTTTTTTTTTTTTGCATTCAGTACAAGAAAAAAAAGGAACATGAGAGATTCATGAAAATAAAACACTGATGAAAACAGTTTTCAGGCTATAAAGACATTTTAAACGCTGGAGAAAACCGTGTAGTTGTTGACTCAAGAAATGGTTGGCTTACTTAAACACAACATCACCATTTGACAATCTATGATCCCCCTCATCTACACAATGAGGCCAGGAAATTACTTCAGTCATAAAATGAAGGATGCAGATCTAAGTCTTGTAAGCCTCTACAGCAAAATGACATGTGTACACACCAGTTTCATTAGCCTTTGATGCAAAATGAAACGCGCAGATCTGAGTCTCATTACTATTTGTTGAAAGAACTGAGTTTCTTCAAGCCCATTACTTTTTCATATTATAATTTGTACAACATACCCTTACTATCACATGAACAGATGACCAAAAGTATGAAGAGTAAACATTGATCTGTCAAGAGTGTGTAGCTATTAAACATATTACTGTTGAAGCATCTTCTCAAAATGCTCAGGTGTTTATGAGACATTATGAGACAATTTGTATACGATGTATAATTCCATATTTGAGCTTCCAAAAGGTCTTTTGTTTATTTTGTTTTAATATAAGCGTTTTACGGCACTTGCAACACAGTTAGGTCATATAAGTGCCAAAGATTAGAATAACAAACACAAAAAGAAGAGGAAATAAGGGCAACATATGTTTGATTTATAAGAATAACCAACAAAAAGCAAATTTTTGCCTTTTCAGTGTAGGGAAATATATCATTTGGTGTCTTTTGTCAATGTTTTTATAGAATGTTTTGAAATTAATTTGAGGCCATATTTTTTATAACGAATAACTAAAATATCAGGGGGGAAAAAAAGCAATCAAATCAAAGTAAAGAAAAAAATTCATGGGCTTTGACAAAACATTGGAACAGCTTTCAACGAAACATTTTATCTGAGTACAGTTCATCCCTATCTGTCTCTTGATCATGAATATAAAGCTGACTTAATTTTCCACCAGTCCCAAATCAAGACCGAAATCTGTACCAACGCACTGGTTACTGTTCATCCCAATCCTTTTCATCACTTCTCGACCTATCATTGTCATGGAATATTCCAATAAAATCATAATCACTGTCTAATTCAAACGCTCCAAACAAATTCCTGTGAGCTGTGGGGTGAAATCCCGATGGTAGCAACAGCAGATGAGCCATTCTTCACACTGAGTGCACTCCAATGGAAGTCAACTGACAAGACTACAATGTTCATAATATGCATTCACTGGCCAAACAGAAAGTACACTTTCATTTTCTAGCAGAAGATCAATATACAATTTAGTTATCAAAAATTTTTCACAACAGAATTTACACATAACAACAATATTTCTGGAGGTTCAAAATGCTGGGCCAAAAAATCAATTTGTGAAAATAAAACAGTTTCCCTCAAAAGAAGAGATTTGTAAATATACATAGCGTACATATCAATATTGATTGCTATAACGAAAAAAACAACAACCTGTTATAATCTGTGGGCCAAAAAATTGACACCATATCAGAAGTAGGGCTAAAAAGGAAAGAACAGACAGCCATCAATATAATATGAATGGCTTTGTCTCCGACTAGATATTCAACTGAAATGCACCAAGACTATTGGCTGCTTTGTGGTAAGTTCTCCAAAAGTTATGAAGTGATTACAAGTTTTACTGTGACGGACTTATTGTACTTCAAACATTTCTAACATTCATTCATATCAAGCCAGCCAAGAAAATTATGCATTTTTAGATTAGAGAGAAAGTTAATCAAACTATAAATCTGAAGAGCAAGAAAGAAATTCTTGAGCAGGAATCAGCCATGAGTTTATCAGGGAACTGGCTCTTCAACACACATGAAGACGAGACAGAGCATCAGTAAACATAGATGGCACATTAGATTAATAAGAACATAACGAAGAATCTCAACCTTCAAATGAAATAGCAAAGCTTTCTTGAATTCCACAAAGCCAGTGTGATGGAAAGGAGCTTTCCTTGGGACGTGCAAAGTGAGAAAATTGTTACAATTGCTTTCTGTAACCTTCCCCATATCAAACATGAGTCATGAGACAAGAACTACAATAAATAAACCTAATTTTACAATGCAAGCAGACTCAGGATAACAAGATGGGAGACAGGACAGCATGAGAGTCTGTTCAATTTGTACGAAGAGCTATATGTCCCTTGGGGAAATGGGCACTCTTCTCAATGTGTTGTACTCAGAGAACTTATGAAAAGAAACTCCCAAGTTCTTTTAGTCCAAAAACGAGAGATGAAATATGCCAACCAAAAAGACATGCATACATGAAATAGTTCATAGGATTCTTTCAAAGACTATTTTGCAAACCGCCAGTTATCATACCCCTTCATATAAATGGCAACGGTCAAAGTATACTTTCATATTTATCAGGCAAACAAACATTACAGACCACCACACCACCTACAGCCACTTAATGATAATAATACTTCCTGACCTTCACAAAAAAAAAAATGTGACGGCAAATGATCGTAAATCTTTAATGATAGGATACAATTAAATAATTAAAAGGCAAGTTGCTTCTACCCTGATACTGATACATCCCAGAAAAAAAATAGAAACTTGAAATTCACTTTCCAGAGAAGGTACCAAACTTATAGTTTTTTTTATATGTAGGTGAAGACCCTAAATATACAGCAAGGCTACTGGTACAGATAAGTATTTCTCTAGGTTTTTTTTTTTTCTTTTTTGTAAAGTACAAAGAACAACGAAGTGTAATAATAATAAAAAATGGGTCAAAACGTAATAATACCATAAAATGATTGCATTGGTCATTTCAAACACACCAGTTTCCCTCAAAAGAAGAGACCTGTAAATATATATACAGTACACATAAATATTCATTTCCATTATGGAAGAAAAAAATCTGTACTGTCTTCAAAAACAATAGAAAAAAACCCCCCACACGTCATTGAAAATGTTTATATCAATCTACATCCAGCCCAGTCACAACACCATTCTCACTTCAAGGAGCACACAGGATACTGTGTCAATCAAACATACAAAACATAATTACCTTAGAAATGAAAATCGACATATGTGCATAATCACACTCATATGCAGAACACAATTCACAAATGGCAGGAGAAAGTCGCACACCATGTGACTCCATCAGGAAAAAAGGAAAGCAGATGTCGGCTCAAAGACACCAAGTCTTTTGTGATTACATGAAAGACAGAGCTCTGGCGAGCACGGGCGACTTGACTTGGACATCTTAGCTGCACAATACACAATTCCTTGAAGTGAACAAGCCTACCTTTACCTTGTCAGAACAAATGCACAATGGACGAGTTGGTGCAGCTCACTCAGCACAGTGTACTCGGGCATACAATGTTTGACATTTGTGCCAGTGTGTGCATCTCTTTAATGCCACCGGACTAGGATAATCATATGTGAGGGTCATGATTTGAATTCATTGATACTAAAGATTTTTAAAAAATGAGCTCATGGGTGTGAAAATAGCTTACAAATTCATCTGGTTTTATGATCTACTCTGTGGAAAAAAGCCCACCCCAACACTGTTCTGTAGTCATCCTATCTCTTCTGGGTCTGGGATGGAAAAAAAAGTTAATATAAATCAGTTCCGCAAAAATTTTGAGCAGAAACAATAAATTCAAAAAGACACTTATATGGAAATGCCCTTTAACATTTTACCAGACTGCAAGCATTTCTGGCACATTTGTCAAAAAAAACCCAAAAAACAAAAAACATTTATCTCCTCCCGCCCCATTTTCTTTTGATTTGATTTTATAAAGTCCTAACATGGCAATACAAAAAAAATATCTTCAGGAATCCTTTAATCTTGAAGAGGGCAATGAGACCAGAGCTTGACCACTGTCGCTAGTGTCAGGCTCTGACAGGGAGCTAGTAGCTGTGGGGTCATGACCTCCTCTGGCACACTCTCCGTCAGGGTCCTGCGCCACATGCTCTCTCTCACCGCCTGGCTCTGTGCCAATATTCACATAATCAATTCTCAAACACCCCAGGACGGAGTTCTCATCTGCTCCAGCCTCTAGCTGAAACAAGCTGTCCCCTTCGTCCTCCTCCTCCTCCCCTAAAGCTGCATCCAGCTGACTAGGACCTGGCATGTCAAGAGCTTCTTCATATGATGGTGGCATGTCACAACCTCCATCAAGTCCAATCTCAGAGACATCCCCTGTGCTTCTCCTCGTGGGAGCTGTGTTCGCCTGCAGCAACGGAATCGCAGCTGGTTCCTGTGACAACTGCGATGACGACTCACGAGACACTTTGGGGGAAGGTTTTGACATGACTGGAGACATGCTACTGCCTCCTCCTCTTGTGAATTTACTACTCGCGTTCTTTCTGGGGACCCTGTTTGATCTCGGGGAGTTCCGACTGACAGATGCCACAGAGTGGCTTGAAGGTACCCTGTCTGTGGTTCTAAACCGCTCAATGCGACCATCAGAGTGAACAAATGCTATCTCAGGACCAGTTGTGTGATGATTCCTCGGGGAGTGATGGTGATCATCTGAAAGAGACAAAAATATCTTTTTAATTCTTAAATGACATCAAGACAACAACAACAAAAAATGTAAGTAATTTATCAACCGCTATATGTGAGGCATCGTGCTGAGATCAGGAGCTCGCCTAAATAAATCAACAAAAGAAACCGGCATTGTCCTACCGGTTTGGGAATTTTGTCCGATTTTTAAAAAACGATTCAACACCTTTTAGGTCCACTTAAAAACATATTTCTATGTGGATTTTACTCTGAAAAGTTGATTAAAGACACAAAAGTGTAAACAGTCGGCATACTTTGGCGGCCATTTTCTCGTTACTTTTACGTCTGAAACCAAGCGACCCCACCACCTTCAATACCAAATATCTTGACTTCTATTCAAGATAGATGAATATTTTTTTTTTCATCAAAAGCAAGACAAAAGAACAGGCTATTAGATGATACAAATACTTCAATATGCCCAAAAATTGACGAGCGCCTGATTCCACCATGTCATGACACATATTGTCTACTATAAGTTTCATGTTTGGATCAATAAACTCATCTTTATCCTCACCTTGGGTGTGTGAGCAAGTGTGTTGAGCTTCTATATGTGTGTACTGTGTACATATATGTAAGGCTGTGTGATCTGTGTACATATATGTAGTGTGTGCATTTGTCCTGGTGTCATAATACAGTGAAAATTGCTTAAACCATATTCCATGGGACTACCGGATTTTCTACCGTTTAGAACAATGTCACCTCAATGTCTTCTTTTCTTCATCTTCAAGGACAGCTGGAAAAACTTCCTGCTCTGACCAATTTTTTAATTTTTTTAGTAGAGGGTTTTACGACGCTCGCAACTACATAAGGTCATATGAGCGCCAAGGGGTGGGTGTCAACAGAGAAGTCCTTACAGGGAATCAGACTTACTCTGCTCACCTTTCTAGCCTCAACAGCACAAGGTCTGCTTCGACTATCAAGGCACCCCGGAAAGAGCGGGTCACAAGAGTATGACAAACATACAAAAGAAGTAGAGGAAAATGACAAAAGTGAGGATTAGGAAAGAAAAAGCAGCAGTTCCCTGTTGCAGATCAGGCACAGTTATGAGCGTGACATGATGAATCAGCCTATTTACAATTCTACTGTGCTTGAACGAGAAATGTCCCCCCCTTTGAGAATGGCCTAAAGATACTACAGTCGTGGCATTGCCCCGGGGGTAGACCAATTTTTTTAAAATTTAAGAATAAATGAGCTAATGTCCATGAATGAATGATACACTTGCTGTATCCGGCTGCTAGTAGACAGAGGTTTACCAGTAAATCGCAGAGGTTCATAAACCACTGCTTATCTACACAGTCGCTGCTCATTTGTAATGTCATAAACGAGCAAATAAGCTGACGTCATGAAACACATCTGCCGTACAAGTGCTCATGTGTATGTGACCTAGCTTTGAAGTGAAGACAATCAGTCATGACCCACTGAAGATCACCCAATAGATGAACACTCGATAACCTAGTATCACTGTGTAGTGTGTGTAAGCCTATTATTAAACATAGGCAAACAGGACGCTATGAATACACTGGCAACACCTCTCTCTGGCCTGCAATTGACACCTATGTGTTCTCATGTCTCTTTCTTCAGCTTCGCTTTCCTGAAGCGAGTAAGACTTAATGATTTGTGTTTCTTGAGGAGTTGCAAATGAAGCAACAATAAATAATAAATGGAGATTTAGTTTCTTTCGGTTTACACACTGATTAAAAGTGTTCCCTTTAAGCAGACTCCGCTGTATCTTGAGCAGCAAGAAGCTTGTAAAAGTACTCGGTTAGTTTCTTCAAACAGAAGGCCAACAAAGTTCCTCTTATTTCCAGTCATTATTCATGGTCAATACTTTAGTCCTCACCCTGAGACTCCCGGTTGCCCGGCTCAACATAGACCAGGTCAGGCTCCCGATCGGCAGTGTGCTCCTGGGAGTTGTACAGACTGATGGCACGTGTCATGGCCTCCTCCGAGCGCTGCTCTCGCCACCGGTAGCTCAGTCGCATCATGTACTTGAACAGCAGACAGGTGGCAGTCAGCACCACCACGGCCAGGACAAAACCTACAATGACGACCACGTGTAGGGCTGGCCCAGTGGAAGGAAGCGATTCTGAGGGAAAAATTGAAATTGTATAGGTTTAACGCCCTTTGCAACACTGTAAGTTTATTCAAATGGCAAAACCTCCAAATTTAACGTCAATTTACCAACAGGACCAAGACAAATGAGAAAATTCAAGTAAAGTGCATTTCCCAAGTTAACAACATCTAAATTAGCTGAGCCTCAAACCTGAGAACCCTTAATCTCACGACTACGAGTCAAGTAGCCTAACCAATAGATTGTTTTAGTAAGCTTTTTATCGCACTTGTAACATAATTAGGTCATATAAGTGCCTAAGATTTGAAGTGTTACAAGAGAGTAACAAACACAAAAAAGGAGGAGAAATAAGGATGACAGATGCCTGATAGGAAAAAAGGAGTAAACAACAACAAACCACTGCCAACTACCAATTCAATCCGCAGATAACTTTTTTCAACAATATAGAATACATTCAATCCCTCCAAACAGAGACATGCATCAAAACCCCACCTGCCATTGAGACATTGAGATGGAAGTTGTAGTTCTCCCGATAGACGTCCGCCCTGGTTAGCCGCACCAAAACGTAGTGCTTGGGTCTCGCATACAGAAACTTGGGGCTCATTGTGTTGCACTGGGACATGTACTGGAAGCAAAACAAAAAACAAAAAAACAAATAAATGAAACAATAGAATCTAATACCACAGCAAGCAGCTTGCTGCCTCTATGAAAGGAAAACTTGATTTCTAGTTTTTAGGATGAATGAGAGCGGAATCTGCAAATTCAGTCCTCGGAAATTATATCCGGAGTAGAAACATCATTACTATTTAAATCTAAAGACGCTATAGACAACTCTTTTTGAAGAGTCTATAAAAATCTTCCCTATATATTTTTCTCCTTTCTAATACCTCAGGATAAGGGAACTCTTTCAAATATACTACTGTGTAATATAGAGGGTAAACATGTTTGTAGCAAAATCAGCACATCAATCTTCATCTTAAAGAATGAAAAAACGCCTTTTCAAAGAAGCTCAAATATCTAAGAAAAGATATAAAGACTACACAAACACAAGGGACTTTAAAAGCTGAAAAAAAAAGAAAAAAAAAAGAAAAGAAAAATCCAACATGAAGGGATCTTATGGCAGTAGTATGTGATATGAACAGCAGGGTTGCCCACATACCAGCATGTTTTCGTAATCAACAGACAGAAAATTAGTAAACTGATTTAAAAATGTGTAATATGGCCATAATGTTGTTACGTTGTTATCGATCCAGATATGGCCATGAAAAATCAACTTCAATGGGATGTCAAGGACAGGGATTGTAGTCTAGTATAGTAAGAATGCAGCGTATACAAGGGGGTGATGATACAAAGGGCCAGAGTTTTCTGACACCTTGTCAATCTAATGTTTGCCTTACTCCTGGCTTTAGCACTTCTAAAGCGTAATTTTTTTGCTAAGGGTAAAGTGTCACTGAGAAACTACAAGGACTCCGCAGGAAAACGGTGTTAATACTGTTAAAGTTAAACAGCTACACGTGACACAGTGCCGTAGACTGTCCGGGTCTGGTAGTTTTTCTATTTTTCTTCCCCTATACACCAGAAATGTTGGCAGAGGGTTGGGGTAACTAAATTTCTTTTTAAAATCGGAATCAGGGGTATGTTTAGTTTTAGTAAGTGTGGTATGGCACTTGCAACACAATAAGGTCATATATAAGTGCCGAAGATTAGAGGTGATACAAGAGAGTAACAAACACAGAAAAGAAGGAGGGGAGGTAAAGACGATAGACGTTTGATAGGAATGAAGAAGCCAACCCCTCCAGAGCATCTGCCAACCACCCACAATCTGGGGTACTAAGATCGTATTTTAAGAAAATTGAATAAAAATCGTAACGATTCTGCTTATTTTGTAATGGTGGCCTGCCCTGGAACAGTAGATGAAAGAATTGTGAGACAGCAAACTATGAGGAAATGTTCATGCTAAACTTCATCCCAGAAAACAGAGACATGAGGATGTGCATGCGTCAATTGTGGGCAGAGAGAAACGTTGCCCAATGTATTGTCTGCCTATGTTTATTAGTCAAATCAATTGACATATGTACTGTGTAAAGGCCTATTGACACAAAGAATGTGAGTATGCATCTGTCCTTGACCTTCGGTTGGTCATGGTCTAACGTAGCTATGAAAGTTGTTCACATGGGCCCTGCACATGGGCATGTGACAACACGAGGTGTGTTTCATGCCAACACAGGCATTGGGCTTTCTATGAAAAAAATACCCATCAATCTTGAATAGAATTCAAGATATTTACAACTGAGGGAGATAGGGTCCCCTGGTTTCAAAGGTACAATTTGCGAGAAAATGGCCACCAAAGCTAGGTGACTTCCAAAGCTTAGGAGATCTGGGAAACTGCAAATTTACATCTTTTGAGCCTGCAGTCAACGATTTTCAGTAAAACCCACACAGGAATGTGTTTTGGACATATAAGGTGTTGAGCCAAAAAACAAGTCTGATAAAAATTGCCAAACCAGAAGAGAAATGCTGATTTCTTCAATTGCTTTATGTTAATGAGCACTTGATTTCACCCCAATGTCTCACACATATATACATAGTATACAGATAAGCACACAACATAAATCATTCAATTAAAAACTTTATGTAGGAAGTCTGAACACTCACAATCTCGTGATTTGTCTTGGAGGTGGTGAAGTCCCCTGTCTGCGACTCGTTGATCTGCAGCTTCACACCGCAGTCATGGATGAAAAGAAAGTTGAAATACAGCACAAGCCTCGCATTTTCTTTCCTAGAGGCCAGACCAAAGACAAACTGGCAGTCCTTGGCTCTCCGACGGTTGGAGCTGCTGCTCTTGCCTGTGATGATGGCACTTGTATTCTCAGAGATCCACAGCACTTTCTTGGCATTGTTCAGACACCAGTCGCTGTTGCCCAGTGACCCTGCAAGCATTGACTTTTTAGCTTATTTTGTCATTTGTTGTCTGAACTTAGTTACAGAGACTCATTGCAGGACAAAAATAAAATGACATAGCTCAGCGCAAGGAAAAGTGAAAGACAAACAGTAGCACAGGAAAAAAGTGGAACCACTGTGGCACACTTCTCTATATACAGAGAAAAAAGTCATGAAATAGAACTGCACTCAAACTTCGATAGAACAAGAGAAAAAGCATACCGGCTTTCTGTTCTTTAGTCCGAGTTTTATGCCCTGATCGACCAAACAGGTAACTTCACAATAAGAGCGCTTAGCCCGTTGGAGACAATTTGAATAGTGAAGGTCAGAGGGAAGACAGAGAAAACATACCAAAGTAAACATCACATGAATACAAATGAGTACGATACAAATGCTTCCCCATGCTATTTCACAAAATACAGGGTGGCATCTTCTGCCCATGTGCAGTGGGTCTCTACAATGTTCAGCATAAGCCTCTGTTGTTAAGAAAAACATTTTTCCTCCAAATCAACACAACTCATATTATTTCGGCTTTTTCTACTTTGCCTGGACAAGGCTACCAGGCTGTATGAGATAAATCCAAGTGCACCCCCCCCCCCCCTCTTCTGAATGTCTTAAAAAAACACCACGAGGTGGGAATTCTCGCATATTTTGTGAGAAGGGCAAGTTTGTTTTGAGTACAGAGAAGCACATCAACATAACAATGGCTATTATTATTAACAGTGGCGTCGGTGGCCTAGTGGTTAGGCTCTCGGACTCGCAACCGTAAGGTCGTGGGTTCGAATCCCGTCAAGGGCCCGACGTTGTGTCCTTGGGAAAGGCACTTTACACGAATTTTCCTCACTTCACCCAGGTGGGAATGGGTACCCGGCTATAGACAGCGAAAGATCTTGTCAGTTTGTTAGTGTTTGAGCGCTTAATCGGCTGCTTGCACTGTATGCTTCCCGGGAAGCTGAGAATGTTTCGGAGTGTTCTATGGTCTGCTGGGGTAATAATATAGTGTAAAGCGCATAGAGCCTGCTGCTGAGCGGGGATATGCGCTATACAAATGCTATCTATTATCTATTATTATTATTATTATTATTAAGTGCAGGGAAAAAGCAAGAAGGACAATCAGAAATAACGGAGAGAAACAAAAGAGGCAGGATCTACTTGAGTCACACCCTCAACACACCCACTGAGCAATTTGGAATTTGGTGGACCCAGTAGGCTGGAGACAAGCACACTAACAGTCATGCACCATTCATGCAAAGGAAACCATACTCTATTATGGGCAAAACATACGTACATTGGGCAGAGGGTGAACATGTTAGCAGCAAATCTTCACATGGGTTTTGACATTTAGGAATGAATGAACACTTTTTCTCTAGTTTCTTTTGTTTAACACTTTCACTTCCTACTATACCACACGAGTATGTATGGATACTGAAGACTAATAAGAATTAAGGCCCCTGAGCTTAAATGGCCAAAACCAGGGTTGCTGATTTTTTAAATTTAAATCAAGATTTTTAAAATTTTAATCTGATTTTTTGGATTTTTTGGATTTTTAAAAAAATGTCGACACAGTTTGGGATTTTTGGTTGCTAAAAGTATGTTTTTTTAATGCAAAATGCATTGTCTTTATTTTAACAAATGATTAATTTATATATATATATATATATATATATATATATATATATATATATATATATATATATATATATATATATATATATATATATATATATATATATATATATATATATATATATCAGTGAATTATGACCAGACAAAAAATATATATATATATATATAAAAGGAAGGGGGGGGGGGGGGGGAGGGGTAATTATGCATAGATAAACTTGCATTTTATTACAGTGTGTGTGTGTGTGCGCGCGATTGTGTTTGTCTAAAAAGAAAAAGAAAATGTTAATTTCAATAATGAAAAAAAAAGTAAATTGAATACTGTATTATTTTACAGAAACAGGGGGGAAAGCAGACTTTTAAGCATGATTATATTAGTCTACTAAACCTTATATACTGTTTTATAAAACCAAGGAAAGGAATTCTGAATGTTTAAAGATGTAGAAACAGAATACATTTTTTAAAGTGATTTAAATCACTGAGTTTTATTTTTAAAATCAAGTTGATTTAAATTTTTTAAAATCAACTGATTTAAATCGACCTGATTTAAATCAACCCAACCCTGATTTCAATTATGAAAAAAAAGTCAATTGAATACTGTATTATTTTACAGTGACAGGGGGGGAAGCAGACTTTTAAGCATGATTATATTAGTCTGCTAAACGGTAACCTTATATCTGTTTAACAAAACCAAGGAAAGAAATTCTGAATGTTCAAATATGTAAAAACTGAATACATTTTTTAAAAAGTGATGTAAATCACTGATTTTTATTTCAAAAATCAAGTTGATTAAAATAAAAATAAAAAATCAACTGATTTAAATCAACCCAGCTCTGATTTCAATTATGGGGAAAAAAGTAAATTGAATACTGTATTTATTTTACAGTGAAAGGAGGGAAAGCAGACTTGTCAACATGATTATATTAATCTACTTAACCTTATATCAATCTACTTAACCTTATATCTGTTTTATGAAACCAAGGAAAGGAATTCTGAATGTTAAAATATGTAAAAACTGAATAAAAATAAATTTTAAAAAAAGTGATTTAAATCACTGATTTTTATTTTAAAAATCAAGTTGATTTAAATTTAAAAAATCAACTGATTTAAATCAACCCAACCCTGGCCAAAACATCTTGGTCATCACTAATATCTGTCAAACAGAGAGTTCCTCTTGTATAACAACTATCCCAGGCCCCTACCCCATGTCTAGTCATGATAGTTCCCTTAAAAATACCAGCAATATGTGCGTTTTCCTTGCTTGCTCCAGCTGTACTAAAACAGCAGTCTTAATACAACACATTAACACAATACAGCAATCTTTGTACAGTATATCTCTAACACAATAAGACAGCAAACCAGTCTTTGTACAACACATCAACAGTGTCTTTTCTACTGCACATCACCACATCATTTTTTGTATACGGTACATTCAAACAAGACAGCAGACTTGGTCCAGCACATAAACACAGTAGTCTTTTTACAGTACATCAACACAGCTGTTTTTGTGGTGCACTGAGAAAGGGCAAGAAAACATACAGATAGACAAAACATAGGAAAGGAGGAGGACCAGGTAAGAACCGTGGCCACTGCCCCCCCCTCCCCATTTAGCCTCAGAACAACAGGAAATGGAAGTTATATATGTAACTTCACTTGATAAGCATCGTCTTTTGGTGACTATAATTATACATAATGCCAACACAGTGATTCAGGCCAAGAGCACATAAAGACAGCATTCAGCGTTCAAGCTGCTACAACCTTAGACGGAGACTTGATGAGACAAAAAAAAAAAAAAAGAAAAAAACACCTATCCTAGCCCTGGCTAAATGCTCAAGTGGTATACACTTGCACTACGTAGATACTTACTAGTTATGTGCAATTGCCTGGCAGCTCCCATCACGCAAAAGATGGATAGAATCAGTGACACAGCTGGCACTTTTACTCCGCCCCATCTCGAACCCATCCTAAAACAGCACAAGACTTTGCGTCAACAGCAAGCAAACAGACAGGCAAAATTTAATCTTCTGATCCCTATCTATTACTTGATGAGATCAGAATCCATGTAAAAGAACAAAAATTGCACATAATGTTAATTCAATAGCTGACATAACTTTCTTAAACATTTGGAAAAGAAGAAATAAATCCCTTGGTATTGCAAAACTGCTCTGATAGGGATGATCTATCTTACTATCTGTCAAAACTAAAGGCAGGTCTTTCACATGACGGTGTACATTATGAATGCAGCTCAAATTTCACTGAAACTCACATCATTACCTTCTGATTTAATACCAATAGGTAATGCAATACACCAGTCTGAATTCAAAAGCACTCAATTGTTGCACTGTAAAACAACATGACAACATTATATTTCAGCACTCATCTCTACACTAGCATCAGTATTCTGTTATTTTTTAAAGAGATACAATTCAGCCTCTATGCATTCAAAGTTCCAATACACCGTGTCTGTCAGGCTCTAGCCTACCCTGCTGGTTAGTGCAAGCAGCATGCAGGACTCAAGGCACGAAGGGAAGCCTTTTCTCTTACCGCGTTTGTAGCTTGGCCATAAGCACCCAAGCGTTCTTAACAAATTACAAACTGCTCATTACTGACAAAAGCTGACATTATATGCAAAGTGAACACAGAATCAGCCTCACGTGTCCTTGCCCCCTGTCCCGACATTTCACGGATGAATGTTAGGCCTTTTTTAAAAGTTTTTTTTTTCCATTTAATAAAACACCAATCATAATCGATATGAATTACAAAACAGCAGTTTGATGATAGCTTTCCTGATGTTCCTTCACCTGATGTTCCATCCATAGACATAATTACCTTTTGATGTTTGATGTTGACACTCTAAACGTTTTCACAAAGAATAAATCTCATCATACAGAAAAAAGTTGAACCATCAGACACCAAAAAAGAGCAATTTTCATAAGTGAATAAGAAGGCACTATTCGAGAAATTTTGTTACCTTACTCAATATACCCACTTTTTTTTACAGTTTAAAAGACAAAGCCATCTCACATGCAGGACGCAGGGCTGTTGTGGGTCATTGCCAGTCTTCGTGCGCTGAGGAGGAATCTTGGAAAGAAAAAGTCCTAGAGCTAGAAGAACATCTAACATGGCCTTTAAGACAACTGTTTCCCTCACCATTTTTCCAGGCAATCTTTTAAAAAAATTGTGGAGACTCGCACAAGAATTCGATAACTCAGTAGCCTGCTTTCACGACCATTGGCCAATAAAGACATGTGAACTGTTGGAGCCATGACTAGCCTTATTCTTTATCGATGTAAAGTGCATAGATGAACCAGACATTTTGAGAAAGACTTGCTAGGACATCATATTATAAACACAATCTCAAAAGCGCAAGTCCAAGCAAGGGGAGAAACCATGATGCAAACTCTACTAGTCATCTGCAACAAGATCTGGCAGTCATAAGGCAGAACACCATTGTCAATTAAACTTGAGTTACAGAGACAGAGAACTTCACTATAAGAACCGGAAGCAAAGGCTGACTCAGTGAGATGAAGAACTGGATAGATATGGGCCCACTCTGTTTCCCCCACTCTTTCTGTCCAGTTTCGGACGCCTGTGTCACATGCATAGTAAAAATAATTATTCAAAATAATACTGATAGATCCAAGAGGTAATTGCAAAACAAAATAATGAAGGACAAAAAAAAATCACAAGGATTATTAGGACAAAGCAGCCAACATAACTAACAGCGGAAGGAAGGCGAAAATAGGAACTGGTCTACCTCTTTCCTTCGCTGACAACTTTGCTCACTGAAAAATTAAAGCTTCTTGTTTAAATCAAATGCCGTATATAGAGATATTATCTAAAAAAAACTGTGCACTACTTGCACAAATTGAGAAGTGAGGAACTCCTCTGCAATAACATGTGAAAAGCTTTCCCACAGTAGGCATTTATAATTAACAACACTTCTATTTTGAGACAGCATCACTGAGTTATGAAGGAAGACAAATTCCAAACATACACGTATTAGTTATTAGGTCTTCTGTACTGTCATGTACACTAACATCGAGAAAATCTTTTAATACTTAAGCTATTCATACTTTGGGCAAAACACACATACAATTTTGTATCTGCGATGGCCATAAATAATGGTCTTTAAGATTTTTCAAAAGTAAATTTAACAAATAGTTGAATGTGTTCAAACAGATCAAAGGCTAACATAACACTAATATAGTTTTAAATAGAAGCAGAAATGACAAAGCCAATTTATCAATTTGGTATCAAATTTGGCTTTCTTGGCCAGAAGAAGAAGATGTCATAATCATGCCTTCCCCTGAGTACTGATAGCACAGTCTAATAACTTCTGAGCTATTAAATTCTCCCCCTTACTTTTTGACCTCAACCAATTTGATTGACAGCTTTAAACCAGGTCTTGTTACTGATTATGAGAGTGGCTTAGAATAAATGTTACCAATTCCTATAATTAATCTGTGATTATTCAATTAGACACTTCGCCCCTGACAAGACCACCAGCGTCGTCAATTTCAAGACCAGCAAATGGGAGTGGTTCAAAACAATGGTTGAAGTAATGCCCGGTTCGTATATATATCTTCTTTTGATAGATGCAGTCAGGGGCAGCTAGCTAGATTTTCCTTCATGGAGAAGAATCTACCATTTTGGCACAATATGATAAAAATCCAATCAAATTGGTTTATTTCTAGATCATCCATCTGATACTGATGAAAACAGCCAGCCAGAAGGCTATTATAACACATTGCAGAGTCAGATCTTTTGTTAGCCGTGGGTTTTGAATTGAGTAGGCTCTGACGGACATACGAATCAAATTTGATAAAGTAAAGCAGATGTCAATTTGACAGAGTGTGCATTGGAGTTGCTATTGATACAAGCAGAGCTGGTTGTAACGGAGTACAAGTACTCCGGTACTTGTACTTGCGTTACAATTGTCGGTACTTTTACTGCACTATGGTACATTTTTGAGAACCAGTACTTTTTCTCTACTCCGATACTTTTTATAAAAGTATTTTTGAGTATTTTTAAAGTACATTTTGAGAACTTTTGAAGCTTAATGAAAGAGTAAGTGCCGGCATTTCTGATAATAATTTACGGAATAAACACCCAGGCGGGCACAGCCGATCAACCAAGAGTTAAAAGTTGAGATCAAAGAACAGCCTGCCGCGTTAAAGATCAGCCACTCTCGTGAATGTGATCTCACAAGCGTTGTAAAACTCCATGAAACGGTACAATGTTTGTCGTGTGAACTGACTGATGCGTTTCTTTTCCCCAAACATCGCACTCGCATCTGAGCTCGCCACCTAAACGTACATCACTCCCTGAGTGGGTAGGGCTCCAGGCAGGATCACACCGAAGAGTGAACTCTTCCCTGAAAATTGAAGGCAGTTTTTCTCTAATCCCAAATTTGCGAGACAGCCTGAAGTTTAATTGGTGTGGTCACACCGTAATGGTGCGTAGCGACAAAGGGGGGGGGGGGGGGGCTCAATCAGAGATGAAAGGCTAAATTTTTTAGACAGGTAAAGGGGAGGGGCAACTGGATAAACGTAGACAAAGATCTCAGGATTCACGATAAGCTAATGAGTGAATGGCATGCCTCATGCCACGGTGATTGGTCATCAAGGTTGACCACTCTTTGCTCGCCATACGTCATAAACCCACCCAAGGGTCACGTCAGTTCATGGGTCACTGTAGATTCTTCCTTGGCTTCATCAGCTAAGATCCCGTATTTCCCTTGCTCCTGAGCACTGGGATCTTAACACTACTTTGCCGTCACATCTCGCCGATCAGCGTTGTTTACTACCCAGTTTCTTTGGATTTTCCCCAAAATGCCTTTGCCTTTGATGGCAGGGGTTTTTACAATAGGAGCCTTGTGATGGCAAAGTGTTAAGCGGAGACTATTGTAGTAGAGAATCTTTGGTTACACTACACTTACAAGACTCTAGGAAACTACATTAATTTTTGTTTACCGTGGGCACCGTGGACTAAATAGTGTGACCAAAATCTGTCTTACCACTATTATCAATTGAAACTGAGACTGAGTTCTCAATTTTTTAGGCTACCTAAATTTCTTTTTAACTTTTTTTGGGGGTGGTTTTTGCTTAAGGCTACATTGATTCCTTGAGGATTTGTTAATGAAGAATTCAATGCCATTTTCCATTTCTTTGCTGGCCATTTTCATCAATGTTATGTTTTCTTAAGAGCAACTTTGTCGCTACATTTTAGAATTTGGATACTTTTTCTGTAGAGCTTTCCAACTTTTTGAACTGACTTACATTTGATCATATTGTCTTGCACAAACAAGTTCAATTCATAATATCACTTACTCACTAGTTGCGTCTGTTTGTTTGGGGATTTTTTCAATTTCACGGACCATTTCCACCTACGTTCAGTGCGTATTCAAATGCTTTGTATACTGTTTACATTTTTTTTGCAATAAATGGCCTAATTTGTCAAATATACTGGATATGTTATTATATATGATGTTTTGCATTAGCACTGAAGTGTTTTAGCATATTAGCAGAAAGTACTCAAAATGTACTCTTAAGTACTTTTTAAAAAAGTAACAGTACTCAAGTACATTTTACAGGAAAGTACTTTTACAGTACACTTAAGTACATATTTTAGATTGTACTTAAATTTGTACTTAAGAACCTTTTCAAAAGTACTTTTTTGGTTTTTTTTTGTTTTTGTAAAGAGTTTTACGGCGCTCACAACTGCATAGGTCATATGAGCGCGCGGGACACACCTAATATTTTCAGTTGGTAGGACATTTGGAATTTTGCCCGGGTGGCGGCCAAAGCCTACTCTTATCGATTTTAGATCACCAAGGGATCTTTAACGTGCGCAACTTGCACACGGGCCTTCCGAGATTTTTCGCCCTTGTCCGTGAAGGCTAGGTGTAGATCTTTCCTACCAGAAGATCAGGGGTGTGGCAGAAAGACAGCAGTAAGGAGGAGCCAAGGAGTAGCAGTAGAAAGGCTGCAGAAAGAGTCAGGAGCCCAGAGGAGGGGGCAAAGGAGGTGAGGGGGTGGGGGCAGAAAGTGGAATTGAAAGCAGACAACAGAATATTGCTAGAGAGCTGGAAAGGAGGTGAAAGGAGACAATTTTAGAGAAGAAAATTTTTCGGTCGCTACCCGGATTCGAACCCGGGACCTTTGAATGAGAGGTCAACACCTTAACCTCTAGGCCACGAGAGCCCCCAAAAGTACTTTAACAGCTCTGGATACAAGACCCTCAACAATGTAAAATGAGCAATGTGCACTGAGTGTACAACTTTTTGTTCTCATTGACTCTGCAATATATTTTTTTTCTGAAAGATTCATGGTTGATGCACCAAGGGACCATGTAAAGGAACACTGAGCATCGGAGGCAACGACAATCACTAACTTGTGTTTAGAAAGCCGACACTGAGGTGCAAGCAGGGAAAGACGAAATCACTATTTGGCAGACAGTGTTGACAAGACCAGAACAACCCTCTGCATGAAGATCAGTCTTTCATTGCCTAAAAGGAGGGGCACAAGGGAACACCCTTCTCTCTTTTTCTTTTTAAAATCTAATCTTTCCATCCCTGACACATTTAAACAATTTTTTTTTTTTTTACAGACTCCAAAATGTTGTGTACAAATTTGAAACACAGAACTTCAATGTGGAGGAAAATATTTACAAAAATAGTTAATTTTTTTTGGGTCACCCTGTAGGCTTATTTAAAATTTAGCTCTAGGCTAAGAGTCGATGTGCCCGACTACGGCGGTGACCCCAGCGCGGCAGTTGGTCTAGTTTCGGCAATTTTTCACTTTTGTTTTTGTAAATTTAAAACTGCAGTGATGTCCCTTACCCTGTTACGTTTCTTTCTTTCCGGATCCATTGCGAACACGTGGCAATTTCGAACCAGGAAGTTGAAATTTTGTCGTCGTACCAATTTTGACTTCCTTTTATGAGTTTTCAGGCGTGTTCGCACTTTTTATCACATATTCGAAGAGTGTTTACTTAATGATGTTTATTGTTACTTATTTGGTGGATAAATGGCTAAAAATGATTTTGCAACATGACGTGTTGCGATTCGTGCATTTTTCAAGTATTGAGAGAAAATGCTGCGGTAAGGGCGCTATGACAAATACTTTTTACCGCAGCACAGCGCAGCAGTAGCACGGCGCTGCCGCGCTGGGTTTAGGGGTCAAGAGAGTGAGAAAGAAAGAGAGAGGGGGAGAGAAGTGCACAACACTGTTTCAGTCAGTTTGCTGATGTTGCTGTATTCATTTGAGTGTGTGTGTGTGTGTAATGTTTGTGTGAGTGTGGGGGTGTACATGTGCATGTGTGTGTGTTTGAGAGAGAGAGACAGAGAAAGAGAGAGAGGGAGAGAGAGAGAGAGAGGGGGAGAGAGGGAGAGAGAGGGGGAGAGAGGGAGAGAGAGAGAGAGAGAGAGAGAGAGAGAGAGAGAGACAGACAGACAGACAGACAGACAGACAGACAGACAGACAGACAGACAGACAGACAAACAGACAGACAGAAATAATATGCCTAACATTGATGTTTTATAGAAAACCAGTCACCATTTGTTATGAGTTTTTTTATTGGTGTTGCTGTATTCATTTGTGAATGTGTGCATGCGTTTGTAAATGTGTGTGTCTGCGTGTGTGTAAGAGAGAGAGAGAGAGAGAGAGAGAGAAAAGGAGAGAAAGAGAGAGTGAGAAAGAGAGAGAGTGACCTTTTACTGCCTCATCTTTATAATTTGTATTTGTCTTTTGAACAATAAATGCTTTCATTATATTTTCAAAATGAGTGGTCATTCTGAATGCATGAACAAATGGAATGAAAACAATGAAAAACAAATAAAGTGTAAGCAAGTAATGCAAGTTTCCCTCTGTATTATCAAAGAACCATAGCATGGAATGCCGCACACTGGGCAGGCAAAATGACGCGGTGAGGGCATAATTGTCGCGCACCGTAAAAAAATAAGACGACGCAGTCACGGATTTGTCGCACTGCGGGCAATCGAGAGGCATTGCGATTCGATCTGCTCCCGGCATACAAATCAAGGGAGATCACTGCAATAACACCAAAGTGAGAAAAATGAGCCCGTCATGTGACCACACACGCCTCTATTCATGTTTTCTTCACGCACAAGAGTCACAGCCACTCGACCTCATTATATACTGCCGCGGTCTGGCACATCGACTTTAGTTCTACTTCCTAAATCTAGTTCCACAAAAAAATAATGGACACAACTGGCATTCTAGTCCAAAACATAATATACAAAGTGACTATTTCTCAGAACGCTCGGGAAAATTTAACTTGATCTCTATTTCTCTGAACGGTTTCCGTTCTCGAGATTTTTCGGTTATTAGTGAGATTTAGGCGTCATTTTTAAATGTCTGAATATTCAGATACTATAGTTGTTGTGGCAACGTTCCCGGACTATACTTCATTTGAATATGCCTTCAAAAGGTACTGCCAGAAAACAAGAGCTCGACCTTGGCAGTTTACCTATTTTGCATTTAGTCACACCTGAAGCAAAAACTAAAATCCTTTAAAATGTAAACCCCTAAATAATGAAATCCCTTCATGCTCTCCCCCCCAACCCCACACCCACACATGGAGATAATGAGAGCACACTACACCGGCTTCTGATTGGCTGTATATATAGAGAGAATATATTTGGTAATATAATTACTAGGTCCCTATGACCTTAGGCCTAGTGGAATGAAGTTGGAAATCTAGGTAACCATTGAGTATTGAGCGAGCGAGTGTCTGCTGGTGATCTCTATTCTAGAGCTGGGGCCGTCAGGCAAAGATCAGTACAGATAAAAACTGCAGTAGTTCACTAGTTTCTACCCACTGTGTCAACTATAGGCACTATAGGACATTTGTTCTAGTGCCTCGTAATCAAGTCATTGTACAATAGATATACTACAGTCTAAATGACTCTAGATCTAGATCTAGTTATACATTTTGGTAGTGTCAATTGCCACCGAGTGACGCAGTGGCAATTGACAAAAATGGACAGCAGCGTCAATTGCCAACGAGTAAATTGGAGCTCTTTTGCGTTGGTGAGTAAATCTAGCCTATTGTGCTCGACGCTCGAATGCTCGGTGTTGTGCGTTCGCCTCTCTGTCCCTCTGTGTGTGTGTGTGTGTGTGTGAGTGTGTTTGTGTCTTTTCCTGACCCCCGTCCCCCGGATTTATGTTCCCTGATATAAAATGAATTTCTGCTTGATTTGTGTGCGTTTGTGACCTTCTACTTCTAGAATAGCCTGTGTTGGTTCTACACCGAAGTGTAGGCTAAGGCTACCCTAGATCTAGGCCTACGTCTCATTGAAAACACGCCAAGTTGGTACTGTAGCTCTAGACTAGATTCTAGATGCTTGTCCAATGAAATTAGATCCCTAGTAGAGAATAAATTGACCCATTTGATTAGACACACATTATGAATAGAAAGCTAAAGATAGTGTTGTTTTCAGACTTGACACCGCTTCACTCGGTGGCAATTGACGTTGCTGTCAATTATTGTCAATTGCCACCGCTTCACTCGGTGGCAATTGACGCTACCATACATTTAAGCCGATCAGAAGCCGGTGTAGGCTATCGTCCTCATGACGTTGTTTCATTGAATATTTTAGCCAATCAGAAGCCAGTGTAGTGTGCTCTCGTTAGCCCCATCTTTATGATCTAGAGTTCAAGTTTATTTTCCCAAGCGTTCGGAGAAATAGAGCCGGCCATCAATATATGGACCAAGGCCAAGGCTACATGAGAGTATGAGAGTGATCATGATTAGGTTTCAAAATTCAGCATCTCATCAAATCAAAACAAAACAAAATAGGGGCTGGATTGTACTTTACCGGACCATCCGTCTCGGCCCGTGATTACTACGCACGCCTAGCCTAACTACGCACTCAT